AGAACATTTAGGATAATAATATACTAATCTTTTGCAATTGAATTCTCGTTTTCATTTTAAACATAATTTAGTCTTTAAAAAGCAAGTTTTCAAAAGTTCTTGACATAGGCTGTAAATTCAGAAATGATTGCGATATTTGTATAAATGCGAAAAATGCGACTGTTTCAGGTTTATAGTTCAAAAAGTATAAACATTTGAAAATTATCTCGGCTAAATTTGTTGTAACATCGGGAGAAATTCAGACAAATGATCGAAATGTTGATCAACTTTCAGCAACTAGCTGGTCAATGCAAAGGAAATAATTGTAAGTGCAATGAGGCCTGTATGCCACGGGGACTGGACTACTATTGTGTTCCATTACCTATTGCGTTATCTGAATGCATCACACGTAAGTTTAATATTTCATTACATATACATTTATACACATTATACAGATAAACAACTGTTTCATCCATGACTGTAAATGTCCTTACCCTTCACATTTGTTGTTTTAGTGAACACGCATGTTTTCCGTGTATTTGCAGCAGCTTATTTCAAGATTTTAAACCCAGTTATTTAAAAAAAAAACTTTGTCATATTCAAACTTTATATGTCAGCGATGTTCCACAATAATTGAAGGTAAAATAGTTTTCTTGCATTTATGTTGTTTCGTGTGATCTCAGAAGAAATTAATAATGGCGTTATACAGAAATTTCCCATTATCTTTCCTTCTTATTATTAGAAAGGGAAAGTACTTTTGATCAGTGATACAAAAAAAAATAAAACTTGAATATTAATTATTATGTGCTTCACTTGATCATGTTGATCAGTATGACATTGCCAAATTGCACTATCTACAAGAATAATCATGGTCCTCTATCAAAGAGAAAAGGTACTTTAGGTTACATTTATGTAAATATAGACAATGCAATTTCTCATAGGAACTCTCTTTACGGCTAAAACTTTTACAATAAAGTTTTGTAAAAGAATATATCTTAGAATGGAAAGTTGATACGCACTACTTTTTTTATTCAAAGCTCAAAAGATAGGGCTGTGCGACATATTTTCAACATGTATATTCCCCGAACTTCTAAGAGTTAAAACGTATACTAAAATTCTGCACTACCCCTCCCTTCATTTTATGTCTTACTAAGAATTTAATTCAACACCTACTATGTGCATTTATACTGGGAACATTTCCAAGTTTTGTCTCTATGAGATCAACCATGGAGATCATATCTAGGAACCAGTATATAAACAAAACAAAACATCTCTCCAAAAGAGGCGTGGTTTATGAAACGGCTGTATTTACAATGTGCAACATATAAACATGTTACATAAAGAACAAGTATGCAAAGAAGTACAAAAAACTGGATAATGATTAGCTCATACAAATATTATTACCACAATGTGTCATTATTCATCCATTTTCCATGCTCCCTACGTATATACCTGATATTCGAGATAAATAGTAATAAACTAAAAAAAATCTACTTTTTAAAATAATTTTTAGAACTGCGCCCACGAGACTGCAGTGATCTTCCCGTAGAAAGCGAATCGGGAGTATATACAATATATCCAACAAATGCGATATTTGATGTTTACTGTGATATGTACACAGCAGGATTTGGATGGACAGTAAGTGTAGTGAAGATGTAGATTTTTATTTAGATATAGTTATTACGTAATTATATGTTTTATTACATAATATTGTATTGATATAATACATATATTAATGTGTACTTTTATCCACTTTTGTAAAACCGTTGTATTTTAGCCAAACGAGTGAAATTAATATCGGTTTTTCTCAGATAAAAATATACGACACATTCATCAAATCAAAAGCTGATTGTTTTACTAAATGAACAGCAAACATTAAAAGTTTCTTCTTTTATTTTGTTATTTTGTTTTTAAGTTTTAGTTTCATCCTTTTTTTTACGGTGGGTGACATTGTATTGGGGAAGATATTATTTACTGTCTATATAATTAATTTTTTTGTATATCTGTTTTATCCCCGGGATCTGTAAATTCGTAAGAAAACCAGCGAAACTTTATGTAAGATATTATGTATTCCTTGACTTTTTATCTGGATTTTTGCTCAATTGGTTTAATTGTCTATACATGCAAACATCGTTTTTATATTGGCAAATGTAGTCATATTTGTTGTTCGAAATTCGGTCTCAGAGATTCAATGAAAATTGAAGATTTCGAGTATAGTATGTACTTCATGTGTAGGCCTTAACATATTTATATAGAAACCTATTTGATTTTTACATATTTTACGGTTCATTTTAACAAAACAAAACAGACATTTTTTATTGATTCATTCTTTTTTTTGTTAACTGTTAACATAAAAGAAGATAACTTTTATAAAAAAAAGTGCGTTGTGAATTTGCCTATTTTACGAGTCCAGTGACCACTTTTTTCCTTTTCTTATCTGAGGGCATATCATTAGAACTATCTTTTCGTATTACTTAAAATTATATGTGTAATTTTCCTATTATCACACCAAATTGTTTTCCAATTGTTTTTCCATACTTAATCTATACAAATTCTGACATTTTTGCACAACCGGTAGGTTAAAAGAAAGTCCGGTGACCCATACTTTTCATTATATTTTTGATAAAAAAAAACATGATATAATTTGACAAATTATCTTAAAAAGTCTATGGATTTCAATTTAGACCTCGCATCTACCTTAAAGGTTAAAATAATGAAAATGTAATTCAAAATGTAAACGGATAACAATACAGCCGATCGAGACCCAATACAAATGTACGAGAACTTTATAAAGGATCAATACGAAATCATCGATTTGGCACAGCTTTTTGTAATTTTGGATCCTCAATGCTCTTCAACTTTATACTTGTTTGGCCTTCTAAGTATTTTGATATGAGCGTCACTGATGAGTCTTGTGTTATAGACATAGACGAAACGCGCATCTGGCGTATCAAATTATAAGCCTGGTACCTTTGATAACTCTTTACACCACTGGGTATCACCAGCCCAGTAGTCAGCACTTCGGTGTTGACATAAATATCAATTGTTGGTCGTTTTTATAAATTTACTGTTTGCAAAAGTATGAATTATTCGAATTACTAACGATTTTCCTATCCCCGCCATAGATTACCTTAGCCGTATTTGGCACAATTTTTTTATTATTTGGGGTCCTCAATGCTCTTCAACTTAATATTTGTTCGGCTTTCTAACTTTTTTGATAGGAGCGTCACTGATGAGTCTTATATATATATGTTGACGAAATGCGCGTCTGGCGAATCAAATTATAGGTCTTTAACCTTTGATAACTATAATGACACTTTTATCAATATATAATTAATAACATCAAAAAGCTGACCGAGAACAGAAACGGCTGTAGGAAAACTAAAACAGTAGAAGGGCATATGGAATTGTAATAAATAGAAAATCTAAAACGTGTGTAAAGTCCATAGTTAATACATTTTTATATTAAACATCTGCATCCATTGACGTTCTCTAAACGTTCGCAAATAAATTAACAAAATTTAAACGTGTTTAACATGTACGATACCGATTGTAATACGTAAGACACTTTTTTTACTTTCATTCGATATACTTATTTGGTAATGTTTGAATAGTTGGTGATGATTCTTTCAGAAGATATGTGTATTGTGTTGATATATTACTTTGTACTGAAATTTAGTGACAACTGAAAACTATAATCTTAAGCCAAATTCATAATTTCAATCATCCTATTGTCAGCATATAGCGTTTTCTTCGTAACACGTGATCTCCAAAGCATACGGTTTTATGCACACTATCTGTTAGGACATGATAATGAAATATCTTACACAAAAAAAAATGTATACAAAAAATAGACATATTCCAGAAAATTACATTATCAAGATGCTTGATTTCTTGATTGACAACATATTTGTTACGTTTGGAGGACGTGTTTTTCAACAGACTGTCGGCATTCCAATGGGAACCAATTGTGCCCCTCTTCTTGCCGACTTGTTTCTTTATTATTATGAGGCTGACTTCATACAGGGACTTCTCAAGAAGAAAGATAAGAAGTTAGCAATGTCCTTTTACTTTTCTTTCCGCTATATATATGATGTTCTCTCACAAAATAATTCAAAATTTTGTAACTATGTTGCCTAATGTTCTGACTTACATCTAGAAATTGACCATAAGGGTCGGTTGAAAACAAATCTTTACGACAAAAGGGATGATTTCAGATTCTCAATTGTGAACTTTCCATTTCTATGTAGCAAAATTCCAGCAGCGTCTGCAAACGGAGTGTATATCTCCCAATTGATACGATATTCCCGGGCTTGTGTTTCCTATCATGATTTCCTTTATAGAAGGTTGCTGCTCACAAGGAAGCTATTAAACCAAGAGTTCCAAATGGTGAAGTTGAAATCATCCCTTCGTAAATTTTACAGACGCCATCACGAGTTGGTTGACCGTTATGGAATAACCGTTTCACAGATGATATCGGATATGTTCCTTATGTCGTTACTAAAATCCCCTTCCCTTTTCACGAATGTGACCTACCGAATTAGACTATTTACCGGGTTTGCACTAACATCAGCAACACGACGGTGCCACATGTAGAGTAGGATGTGCTAACCCTTCCGGAGCACCTGAGATCACCCCAAGATATTGGTGGGGTTCGTGTTGCTTAGCCTTAGTTTTCTATGTTGTGTCTAGTGTACTATTATTTGTCTGTTTGTCTGTTTGTCTTTTTCTTTTTTAGCCATGGCGTTGTCAGTTTATTTTCGATCTATGAGTTTGACTCTCCCTCTGTATCTTTTGCCCCTCTTTTAAAACCTTGAATATTATATAACATCTATAATGATGTGCATTAAATATCAAAACTAAGTTCACTTCTTTTGTCTTAATCTATTTCATGTGCTTTAGACAGACGGATCGTATGCAAGAAGAATGATTTACCTTGAGTTGAATTAATGCTACATTTGATTTACTCAATATTTTAATGCTCTACGATTCTGATCTTTGTAAAGGTTTTCCAGAGCAGAATGAATGGAACTACGGAATTTGACCGAGGATGGATGGACTATGAAAATGGATTTGGAAGTTTGACATCTGAGTTTTGGTTAGGTAATTTCTTTACAATTCATATAATTCTGATTTAATTTTATAGAGGTAGTATTACCTATTTACTATACTTATTATTTCTAAGTTTATATACCAGTTTTAGATTGTTCTCTATTTATTCCTAAAACTATTTACTCTCTACAGTATCTAAGTTTATAATTTTCAAAACAAGAAAACTGTCATGATATCCACATTGACGCTGTAACGTAGACACTAATAGTCTATGTTCGATATCTCTTGAACAAAGACAACTCAAGTCGTTTTCATGGTTACGAATTTGGATGTGTTACCTGTTTATCCTGAAATATATTTATTGACTTTAAGTGTTAATTAAACTTACCACAATACGTATTTTCACTAATGTCTAATGTCATTGATTAAATCGGAATAATAAATAACAACAAACAAAAAGCATGTATTTATTTGATTCTTCAATGCAAACACATTTTTTTCACAATACATAGGATTTAAATAATTTTATTTTGTTTTTGCTTCAATGTTTGTTATTTGTATGTTGCTTTTTGTTTTTTTTTTAATTTTAGTGAATGATACAAACGTTATCACTGTTATGTGGTCTTTTATCTTCACGTCGCTTTTTGTTCTCGATCATTATAATTGTTATGTAGACTGTTATCTTCACGTCAGTTTTCGTTCTCGATCATTATCACTGTTATGTAGACTGTTATCTTCACGTCAGTTTTCGTTCTCGATCATTATCACTGTTATGTAGACTGTTATCTTCACGTCAGTTTTTGTTCTCGATCATTATCACTGTTATGTAGACTGTTATCTTCACGTCAGTTTTCGTTCTCGACCTTGTTATTGTCGTCTCTCTTCGACCTTTGAGTTTTGGTTCTTCTTCTGTTATCATTCGCCTCTTTTTACGGTATTGAACATGTTGAATTGAGTACATTTATCAAAGCTGACAATATGTATCCATTACGACATTTTTTGGATTATTTAAGCACACGTGAGGCAGGATCTTCTCACCCTACCAGAACTCCTGAAATCAATCCCGGTTTACGATATGGATCGTGATGTTCAGTCTTTAGTCTATATGTTGTGCTTTATGCACTATTTCTTGTCCTTTGATCTTTTCCTTTTTTTGCCATGGAATTATCAGTTTATTTTCGACTTATGAGTTTGAATATCCCTTTTGTATCTTTCGCCTCCCTTCCAATTTATAGCATAAAGTAAGACACCAGGCGATTAACTTCCTTTTGAATGTTGTAACGTCATTTTACTTTTAAACAGGAAATAACTTCATACATCTTCTCACTTCGACTGGAAATTACAAGCTTTTTATCCACCTTGAAGATTTTGAAGGAAATTCAGCATATGCAGAATATTTCGAATTTAGTCTAGGAGATCCTGCAACTGATTATACATTGAATGTCAAAGGATATTGTGGGTCTGCAGGTATAACATTATAATGTCATATATTTATAAATATCATATATACATGAAGATATAGGATGAACGTCAATGAAACAGCCAGGTAAGGGACATCATACAACCTATACTTAAAATCTGATCATTTTAGTATCTTCCGTCCTTGATACTCATTGAAGATATTGCACGAATGTGAATTTGAATTTAAATAGCACTTTATGAATGTGTTACATTCGAAGCGCTTTTCTTGATTTAACTTCATCAGGATCGAGCTTTAATACAAAACCACTGTTTTAATTTAATATGAGGTAATCGGAAATGTATGACGCACAAGTGGCAAAATATTTTTAAATTCCATTGTAATGCTGTTAGGGAACGACCATTTAACTTGAAAGGGGGGAGGGGGGGGGGGTATTATGAATCCACATTTCCCCATACCGTACAGTTTTGAATTATGATCCTGTCAAAGACGTCAGTAGAAATTGTGAATGTGTGACCCCAGCTTAACACATTAGTTTGTACAATGTAGCAATATATATCATGTATTTGTACTCGCTACGATTATAGAAAAAGCTCGGAGAACATCGTCTTTCTCTCTCATTTAAATTCAAGCTTACACAAATAAATGTTACGTACTGTGGATTCATTTATTTTCTTGGGTATCAATTTTCGGGGATTGAGGAAAACTTGAATTTTCGTGGATATTTGATTTCGTGGTTTTGCCGATCTCTGCATACAAAGCCTAAAAAAAATTTGTAATTCGTTGAACATTTGAATTCGTGGTTCACATGTACCCACGAAATCCACGAAAATTGGTATCTAACGAATAATTGTGAATCCACAGTATTCCGACAATGAACGAATTTTGTATTTGTAATTTACAATGACGACTGTAAGGGGAGATGGTCACATTAGTGATAAACTGTGTGAACGGCAAGCTACACCAATTATCCGAATATTTGATACGCCTGAAATGTTGAAAATCCATTTACAGGAAAAATAGTATTTTGTGACACTCACTTTTAGCAATAATTACGTGGTTGGTCTTCTTAAATTTAGGAACAATTATTTAAGCTTACCGATATATTATAAAGCCTGTACTAAAAAATATACCTAAGCATACTAGCTTTTAACTTCAATTTACTTTTACGTTTTGAGCCCTATGACCTTACACTTTTGGTCCATCGCACTTTAGCATGATATACCATCGTACTTTTGCAAACAAACAACCATCCAACTTTAGCGTGAGACATCATCGTGCCTTATTGTAGACCATCTCACTTTAACATTCCATATATATATATGTGTGTGTGTGTTTATATATATTTTCTAATTTATATAAAACAATAACATTACGAATAAATAGAATGCTACCCAAGATCTGATTACTAAATAGCAAGTACTAAATCGTGATAAAAGTTTACCAATCTAAGACTTACAATTTAATCATATACGTTTAACTACAAAAAGAAAAAAAAACCACGGTAACTTTGGACAGGTAAATCCATAATTCGTAGATTAAACCTGTTCATACCCCATGTTGATATTCTCATATAAGTTATGGATTTCTAAATATTTGTTTATGGTTTTTTATGTGGTAGGATGTTTATGTATTATTTAAATGGATAATGTTGTATAAACGACATCTAGTTTATTTCTTTGTTATTGTTTTACCTTTTTTTTCCTATGGCGATAAGGAGCTTGACATATAATATAAAAAAAAAAGATATGGCGACTTCAAGATGTGTTATCATACATTCTCTCTCACACACCTCAGAAGAGATAACGTTATTATGTTTTTCCTGATTTGTAGGAACAAATATTTATCGGAATATGCAAGAAAACAATACAGTTTTATAACTTTAATGCTTGGTTCAGGTAAAAAACAACAACATGAATTCAATTTTGAAATATGTTTCCAAAACAAATGAAATAACTTTCAAACAAAATGAGCTTTAAATATCTAGTTTTTGCAAAGTATTTCTTACCTAAATTATAATGGAAGTCAACTATAACCAATCTTTATTTATTTGCTCAGGAGATAGCCTTACGTCCCACAACGGCACGATGTTTTCTACTATAGACAAGGATAACGACAAACGTTCAAGATTCAACTGCGCACGTAACTATAAAGGAGCATGGTGGTTCAATGCATGTCATACAGCTCATTTGAATGGGGAATATTTAGGAGGAAAGCACACGTATGTTCGCAAAGGGATCATATGGACAGCATGGAAAGGCAGTAAATACTCACTAAAGTCTACTAAAATGATGATCAAACGACACTAAGAACATTTTATGAAAGAATAACAATTTCTGTTTCAAAAGTACACAATCAATTGAATTTTATGAAAGATGTTTAATGAACATGATGAAGGAACCTATAAATAATTTGAAGATAAGCACAAAGTATAACATATATGCTTAATATAGAGATATTAATATTCGTATTGTGTTTGTCTTTTTTGTTTATCAACTACCTATTCTGTTTGTTAGAAGATCAAATTTTAAAACTAAGAAACATCGTAGTTAACAAAGTATAAGATAATGCAGGCGTCTTTGCAAAATACAAAAAACAAAACATTCACAATTCATTGCTTATATTTCTCTCGTAAATTTACTTTTCCTTAAACAAAAATTTTCAATTTAAAATCAACTGAACATTCTGAACCTAAAGAATGAAGTCTTGTTTAGAGTTTGAAGTTATTATTCAGATATTTTGAGATATTTTGCGTGTACTTAATCCAGTTTCTTCAGCAGCTATTCTGATAACTCAATATATTGATGTTTGGTAAAGTAAAAAGTAAGCAAGAACAGTCTGAACACAGAGTAAACATATTTATTTAATTGACTATAACTAGTGAATGATTTTATAGGGTATTCGGGATATGAAGAGTAAAGCGATGGTACAACAGACAATGCTTTGAAAGTCAATTGATATAATGACATGCGACATCATTAAAGCTATATTCAAGTTCTTATCGTACTAGTGCCCTATCTTCTTTGATAAACATTGGAACAAACTGCATGAATTTTAAACACTTTATTTCAACAAAATGTAATCGGTAATCTATTACTCTCGAGTGTCATTCAGAGTTTAGTTGTAATCTGAAATTTGGTTATTAATTTGATAGAAAAGGTATATAAACTTTTTGATTTCAAAAGTGCATACATTACTATTATACAACAGAAATATAGGGTTTCGGAAGCAAGAGGAACTTTTATAAATCCGTCTAATTTAACTCAATGACAACATTTGGTGCATAGTGTAAAAAAACCCGCTATAATGTAATTTTCAATTAACATTACATGTTTATTCTGTGGTTTGCCCGTTACTCGGAAGTCAGTTTGATCGAAAGATGTGATCAACTCATATCCTATTGTGGTCTTACATTAAGGTGTACATATGTGTAACATGCGTAAATGATTCACAAAATAGAGTTAAATAACAAGGTTCCAATATCTAAATCGACACAAAAATATGAAAATTTATAAACCAAAATCTCCTTGTTTCGAAATTAAGCTTTGTACAATTTTATATTTTAAAAATATTTTCGTTTTCCTCATCACTGATGAGTTCACTACCTGTTAGTAATGTTTGTATATTAAATTTTTCTTTGTAATGTGGAATTGGTTTATGTCCTAATGAGTCTTTAATTCTGAAATGCTAGCAGACAATTAACTTCTCTCAACTTGTCCGCATATACCATGTATACAGAGGCTGGAATGAACAATATTTTTTTTTGAAAAGGTGTTCATTTAAACCACTGCAGTCAAACCGTAGTCAGGCATGAAGTACTTTGCTTTTTCTACAACCAAGATTAAATTATGTAGGTATTTTCTTAAAGTTAAGTGATTTAAATATTTTTGCAGGGTTATTTTTTTATGGATTACATCTTACATCTTGTCGAAGGCTGTTCCACTCACGAATAACAGTTCTAGATTGTAGGATTGAAATTTCACTAAACAATGTTCTACATTTCATGTTTTAAACATTAAAGCCCTTCTAGTATCATAGTTATAAACTTGGCATAGTTGTTGAGGCATGAGACTACAAAGATAATCAAGAGTTTGATCATGACACATTTCTGAAATCAGACTCACACTTCTTTTGAAATGAGTTTTACTGTGCATATTGCCGTGTTTTTTGTATTCTACATTGACTAGAGGTAAAGGAGGAGGGTTGAGATCACACAACCCGACCGAAGAGCAGAAAACAGCCCGAGGCTACTACACATATTGATTTTGCCACTTGATTAGGGACTTTTTGTTTTAAATTTTCCTCAGAGTTCGGTATTTACGTTATTTTACTTTTTCGTGATAATTTCAAGTCTTTCAGTTTCATAATAAAATTTTGTTTTAGAACAAAGTTTGGTGCCTCCTGTGACAATACGAGTCGCTTCTATTTAGATGTTTTTTAGTTTGTCTTTTAAATAAGTTGGTATGTTATCCAACACAGTATCCACATATTCGAGTATAGGTTTGATGGACCTGATATAAATAACTTGCATCAACCCATCGAAACAACATCTAATATAAAATTTAGATATTTGGATAATATTTTGACTCTCAATAATGACGACTTCAGTATGTACAATAAAGAGATTTATCCTGCTAAACTGGCTTTAAATAAAACCAATACTAACAAGGAACACTGCCTTTTCCTGGATCTTAATATCTCTATCTTTAACAGGAAGCTAATACCAACATTTACGATAAAAGAAAGGATTTTTCATTTCCTATTATTAATTATTCATTTTTAGATGGTGACGTTCCCTTGTCACCATCTTATGGTGTTTATATATCTCAACTTGTTCGATTTGCTCGTGTTAGCTTATTTGATTTTAACGAATGAAATATCTATAATACTGACAAATTATTACACCAGGATTTTCGATATCACAAACTAGTCAAAACATTTACAAAATTTTATCATCGGTACAAGGACATCATTCGTAAATATAAATCAACTTGCAAACTTATTTCACATCCAATCGTTTTTGGTAATATTCTATACAAAGCACAAAAATGTCGTCATTCAACTCAAAAGCTAAACAAACCTTTAAACAGACTTATTCAAAAGGGATATAGTACTGACACTGTAACTTCATCGGAAAGAAACACATTTATTCTGAAACCAGTTGTTGTCTTGATATAGGATATGTTCTTCTCATATATTAGGTAATGGTATGATACTAAACTCATAACGGAAGGGATTGTGCTTGATTTTCATATGATACAAATCTATCAATCTGTTTAATTGAGGTCTAGAGCTGGCATGTCAGTTACTGCTAGAAGTTCTTAATTGATAAGTTATGTATCATTGTCATTTTACTTAGCTTCTTTTGTAACCTGTAAACTGACATCGGACTCGGACATCTTTTGCAGTGAGTTTTACTGTGCTTATTGATGTGTGTTTAGTTATACATTGGCTACAGGTAAAGGGAAGGGTTGAGATTACACAAAACATGTTTTACTCGCCAAATTTTTGCGCCTGTCCCAAGTCAGGAACCTCTGGTCTTAGTTAGTCTAGTATGTGTTTTTAAAGTTTAGTGTGGCCTCCATTTTCACTGAACGAGTACTCATTTTTGTTTAGGTGCCAACTGAAGCCCGCTTCCTAGTGCGGGATTTTCACACTGTGTTGAACATCCATTGGGCTTGTTTCTGCTCTTTTTCGGGTTGTTGTCTCTTTGACACATTCCCCATTTCCATTCACAATTTTATTGCAAATGATTACGCCATAACGTAAACTTTAAGTTTCTCATAACATTTAAGCGCAGGGTAACTTTGTCAATAATATAATGTAAATGACTTTCCCAACAACCGTTTTCTTGAAACATTAATCATAAATGTTTACCTTGTTCAACCTCTTGTTTAAGCGTATCATTCATATATATTGATGGATTATGGGTTTTACTGTTTTTATAGATATGGTCATGGTTTCATATTTCAAAATTAAGGAGCAATTGTTGAGACCATCAGTGATTTTTTTTTAATATCAGAGTTCATTAATTCAGCCGTAGTATACTCGGCCTCAACCACTATATATAATGATGTATCGTCAGTAAAAAGTCAAATGTTGGATGATATGTCACATACAATATTATTTATAAAAACTAAGAATGATACATGTCCTAACATTGAGACCGGGGGGCACCGATTTTAATACTATGAACATCAGAGGTATATCCTCCTATGACAAATTCTGTCTTCTCTCGGATATATAAAAGAGGGACAAAAGATACCAGAGGGACAGTCAAACTCATAGATCGAAAACAAACTGACAACGCCATGGCCAAAAATAAAAAGACAAACAGACAAATAATAGTACAGATGACACAACATAGAAAACTAAAGACTTTTGAACCATTTTATGAGCATCCATCTTATTCCATATTTTTCTAGTTTATGAAAGAGGCCGTTATAACAGACCTAGTCGAACACTTTACTGATACCACAAAACACAACTCTGATTCTATTCCAGAGCCTAGGACTTTCGCAATATCGTGTGCGATATAAATAAGTTGATTGACAGTGCTATCTCCTGCTATTACACCTAATTGCATCTGTGTAATTATCTTACAGTGAGAAAGAAAATTTGATAAATATTTAAAACACATTTTGTCCATCGTTTTACCAATAACAGAGAGATTGCTTTATTGAAAATTGGTATTACATTTGCTGTTTTCCAGTATGGTCAAATGCACTAATGAAGAGATTTACTGAACAACAGAGCTAGGGGAAAGATTTATTCGCGAGCCACATATTTAAAAAAAATCTTGGAACAATGTTGTCGAGGCCTGTTGCCTTAGACACGTCTAACAAAAAGGAATTGGTCATAAACTTCCACTTGCGTTATAATTATGTTATCTTAATTATAAATGACGTACGTCATTTAAATTTAAGTTTTGAACATTTGTAGATGAGTCATCAACGCTCGATTACTCACAAAAATAACGATTAAAAGTATGTGCCTTATGTTTATGATCGTCTAGGTAGTTACTTCTAGTAGAATAGGGATATCCGATGATTTGGAAGGAAATCCAGCCAAGTTATGCATTTTTTTACAAATTCTAAATGGAATATACATGTGATTGTATTTCAAAATATAGGGTTTTTGCCTGTCAAATCAAATTTGCACATTCATTTCTAATTTTTTTTTTTTAGAGTTTGTCCAATACTCAGAAGTATTGTAATTTTTGACTTATATGTGCAAACGTTTCTGTTTACGAATTACGAAAAAAGAACGTTAAGCATGTTGTAACGTTTAATCGATTAAGTGAGAATTT